TGATTGACATCTTGGCAAGTCACACCCATCCCAGCTGCTATGTGGACCACTGCAGAGCGGGATAGAAATTCACACTGTCCCTGGTCAATTGACCATAAATTATATTCACTGGTCATTCCCAGACACCAAATGTTTCTATCCACTAGGCTTCCATGTGTGGTGACCCACATGCAACCCATGGGTGGCTCGTGACAGATCTTATTTTCAATTCTTTTTTTCCTTCATTTTAAAAACTTGAAGTTGCATATATTTAAGGACACATATATTTATTGGTGTGTGTGAATGTATGTGTGTGTGTTCTTTTTTGTGGTAATGGGGATTTTTATTTTGAGTCAGGGTCATAGTATGTGGTCTTTTGTGACATTTTTCTTGACTTTTAAACATATCTAAGTCTTTCATTAAAAAAATTAATAAAGCCTCTCCATTAATCTACTATTACTCCATCTTTCTTCTTTCCTATACAATCCAACTTCTTAAAAGAATTATATGTACGCCGGGTGTGGTGGCACTTACTTGTTGTTTTAGTCAGCTTTTTTACTGCTGTAGCTAAAGGATCTGACCAGAAAACAACTATAGAATGGGGAAAAGTGTATTTGAGGGCTCACAATTTCAGAGGTCTTAGTCCATAGAGGGCTGGCTCCATTTCTCAGGGCCTGAGATGAGGCTGAACATCATGGTGGGAGAAGGTGGTGGAGGGAAGCAGCTCATACCATGGTGATGAAGAAGCAGAGAGAGGGCGGGGGCTGGAACTCAGTGGTGCATGCTTGCCTAGTATGTGAGAGGCACTGGGTTTGATTTTCATCACCGTATATAAAAATAAAGGTCCATTGACAAAAAAAAAAAAAAAAAAAGGAGGGGGAGGAGGAGGAGGAGGAGGAGGAACTATTAAAAAAAGTAGGGCTGGGGTTGTGGCTCAGTGGCAGAGTGGTTGCCTTGTATGTGTGAGGCACTGGGTTCAATCCTCAGCACTACATAAAAATGAACAAATAAAATAAAGGTATTCAGGAGGAGGAGGAGGAGGAACTATTAAAAAAAGTAGGGCTGGGGTTGTGGCTCAGTGGCAGAGTGGTTGCCTTGTATGTGTGAGGCACTGGGTTCAATCCTCAGCACTACATAAAAATGAACAAATAAAATAAAGGTATTCATATTCTCTCCGTCTATAACTACAAAAAAAAAAAAAAAGAAGAAGAAGAAGAGGAGGAAGAGAAGGAGAAGAAGGAGAGAATCCATTGGCCAGATAAAAATATATACCCAAAGCCATGCCCCAATTCCTACCTCCTCCAGCTATACCTTACCACTTAGTTACCACTTAATCCCCATCAAGATTAAATCACTGATTGGGTTAAGACTCTTAAAATCCAGTCATTTCTCCTTTGAACCGTCTTGCATTGTCTCACACTTGAGTTTTTGGGGGACACCTCACATCCAAACCATAACACTTGTAATCTCAGAGACTGGGGAGGCTGATGGAAGRGGATCATGAGGTCAAGCCAACTGCAGCAATTTAGTGAGACCCTATCAAAATAAAAAGGACAGGGGATGACTTCATGGTTAAATGCCCCTGGGTTCAATCCCTGATACTGCATCCCCTCCCCTCAAAAAGGGAATTATTTGTTTTTTTGTCTCTTTCCCCACCATAATCTTTTAGTCTGTAGCTCATTCTGGGTGGTTTCTTCTTTCTCTCTCTTTTCTCCTTTTTTTTTTTTTTTTTGTACTAGGAGTGTGATTTTTTTTTTTTTTTTTTGGTTGTAGTTGGACAGAGTGCCTTTATTTATTTATCTGTTTTTGTAGTTGTAGATGGACATCATGCCTTTATTTA